CTGAACCCGATCCTCTATAAGTGGGACAGAGCCGACAAGTTTCAAAGATAAATAATTTATTAATAATGGTTGAATAGATGGAAGAATTCAACTTGAAGGGTCTATTTTAAAATTATGCTTCAAAGTTTATTTTAAATGCAATTATTTAAATTATTGAATTTGATCCTCTATAAGTGGGATAGAGTCGACATGGTTCAAAAAATATATAATTCTCCAATGATTGTTGAGTTGATTGAAGATTTCAACAAGAGAGATCTATTTTCAAAATTAAATTTCAAAATCAATTTGAATAAATTTAAATGATATATATGAACCCAATCTTCTGTAAGCAAAATAGAGTTGACAAGGTTCATATGCAATCGTGTGTCAATACTTAACCCAATCTTTTACAAGGATTAAAGTTCACAAAGTTTAAATCAGGCAATCAAAATCTTCGATGATGGTTGTGTTGATTGAAAATCTCAACTAAAGGGGTCAATCTTTAAAATCAAAGTTTCCAAAATAACCAACTAATATATATATAAAATTTAATCACTTAAAAGCTAAAAAAATCCATCCTCCCTCTGCAACTGTTTGTCGAAAATGACAAATTTCTGACTGAATTCAGCTAAAAACGATTTAATGTAATATTAAGTGTATCCCTATATTCACAATTGAAGCAACCTAATGTAAATAAAGATGTGCCTCATGTTTTCTATCTGCATAGTTTTACCGTCAAATAGCACCACAAAGTAACGGTTACAACCAGAGCCCTCTGACCAAGTGGTTGCCGCTAAAGTGTACCATTATATTACGATCACGGCTAGCACGTATATGTTCCCCAACGTCTTTATATCCTTTGGGTTGTGAACTAGAAGGATACAATTGATTGGAATAAGTCTTTTGTTTGCAAAAATCAACTTAAATGTATCACCTTAAACAAACATCCACCCCAAATCAACAAAAACCCCTTGGACATCACAGCCCATGGTTGTTGGCAAGTATCATTCAGTCGGGTTAGGTCGACTACCTCCTCTGGCTAAGCAAATTAGGGACCCCAATGATCCAAGACAATGAAATCATGAAATCTTAATCTGGTTTAGTAATTGTTTCAATTTTACAACTTAAATCATAAGTCTGCAACTATTATATAATGAATACTCAATTTTTAATGACTAGCCTTAATTGAAGTGTTCTCCTGTTATCAGAAGGGGTAATTAACCGTTAAGGCTTGCGCCTATGGGAAATCTCAAATTCAAGATCAAAAAGTTCTCACAAAAATAAGGGCAAAATCTCTAGGTAATGTCTTATCTACAATCTGATTTGTCTTCTGAAAATTTGACCCTACAAACCTCTCTAAACAAATAATAAATAAATAAATGCAAAGAGTATGGGAAGCAGTCGGAATATTTGGAGCCCACAACAAGGGCCAAAATGCGCATGCTAGAGCTGCTCGGCTTGATTCAGTCCTCCACACCTATCCTTCCCTATTTGAATTTTTTATTTAAATTAAACATATAATTAATACTGAATAGATAAACATATATATATATATATATATATATATGTCTATCGTTGCTAAAATCCTTGCATCATGTTTTCTAAAACAAACAATCAATCTAACATTAATTTATTTATTTAAATAAAAACTCAAAAGTTATCATAAATCTTTTGCCCCTTCCGTCATCACGCACAGGCTCCCCCATCATCTTCCTCTGCACATGAGCACAGTGCACTTAGTCGCTCGACCTTTCCTCTTCTCCTTCACTCTTCTTCTTCAATTTTGTAAAGGGAAGGTTAAAAAATCTCCCTCGCACAAGAAGAGAAGCACGGTATTGCCTTCCTCAGATCGGCAATGGCGTCGCATGCAAATTCTTCAGCTTCCCTCTTCACCTTTGAAAGGCAGCTAGGCACGGGATCTCAACTCCTACGCCGCTCGTACACGATGCCACTTCCTCCTTTTACGCGCAAGCATCACGTCGTTGCCTCCTTCGGCTAAGCCTTGGCATCGAATCTCAAGAATGAAAAGCAGTAACCGCTCGATCCCAAACGAGGTCTCAACTAGGGTTACGTATATAAGGTACAAAACTTCCTCCCCACTTCTCTCATGGTCTCTCTCTCGTTCTTCCCTTCGGTTCCAAAGCTCTCGCTTCCCTCCCACCTCGCTTTTGGTTCGATTTGAACTACGTCCGTCTCTTAAGAAGGGAATGTCGAGATGGACGCTTCCAAAACAGCTCATGTGAAATAAATTTTTAATTTTAATTAACTGCTATTATTATTATTGTTATTACTACTTAAAATTTCAGTTATTACATTGTTATTATTGTTGTTGTAGATGCATTAAAAATGAAGAAAACAGGATCATCATTAAATTTAAGCAAAACAAAGATGAAAATAATTTAAAAAATCTTAATAAAACTTTATAAAAAATAATTTTGGAAGAGCATAATGAATAACTTATATGATTATAAGATAGATTGATCCAAAATAGTAAAGCAAAATTGGCTTAAAAAAATGTATCGAGTAAGGTTTTAGGGATAATATAGTGATTTGGTTAACAAATCCTTTTGATAGAACTTTAAAGACATTGGATAACAAATCATTGGAGAAAAAACATTTGGTAGTGATTTTTAAGAGTAAAAGGGATATTTAAGAATTTGTTAATTATAAAAGAATTAAACTTATGAGTCATAAAATGAGGCTATAGGATAGTGTAATGAAACCATGGTTTACAAAGTTGAAGTCAATTTGGAGAGTCAATTTGATTTTCATGCTACGAAGATATATTATGGACGCGTTTTAAGTTGAGACAATTATTAAAGAACTATAAGCAGCAAATAGATTATCTCCCTATGGGTTTAATTGATCGTATGAAATAAATTAAGTATCGCAATAATTGATTTAGTAAATGTTAAAATGGAAAGTATGCATCAAAAGCAGGCTAGCATTATGAAAGATATGTATAATAAAAAATTAACTAATATTAAAGGTACTTGCGCAGAAACTAAAGAGATTTAATTATAATTGATTACTTCAAACATCATGATGATACTTACAAAAGATATTTAAAGCGAAGAGTCTTAAGGTAAATTTTTTGCAAATGAAAGAGTTCTAAGAGAAGGCAGGGTTTAAGAATGCAGAATCGGTAACTAAATTGTTCTGATTTAGCAAGGTGAGGCATATTCCTTGAGACGGATGAAGGCGTAAGCCTCAAAATAAAATTAAAAAATATTTTATAAAAATAAAAAAATTATAAATATAACATAAATCATTGTTATATAATTTTGTTTACTATCATAAAGACATAAACCACATATCTTAATCTTAAATATTTAAAAATAAAAAAAAAAAGTTTGAAATGTGATTCTAAGTAATGATTCACTAAAAATTTAAATACTCCACAAGGATCGAGATTCATAGTTGTTAATCCTCATTTTCTTTATCTTCAAAAAAATCATCATAGTTATCATCTTATAATGCGTCATTTGAAGTTTCCAAATCATCATGAATCACTACAATTTTCTTATTAATCTCTATATCAATTGATATTAATCCAATATAATTTAAAATAAAAGAAAAAACTAATAACAAAATCAAATAATCATATTTAATTTATCTCTTGACCTTTTGGAGGTATTTTATCAGATATATTAAATATAAGTATCATATAATATGTATATTATATAATAATAATAATAAAAATAATAATAATAATAATAATAATAATAAAAATAAAAATAATAATAATAATAATGTAATGTAATTTTCGTATAACAATGAGATCTTAACTTTTAAGGCATTTTATATGTACTTTGGCGCATCGAAGCATACACCTCGAAAGCCTTTTCAAGAAGAGAAGAAACATCTACTAAAATAAATTTAAAAGTAACAACAATGAAGAAAATTTTCACATAAAAGAAAACTTATAATTAGTAGAAGGAATATTGAGTATATGATATGCAATTTTAGTAACTATGATATTAATACTATCAATCAATATAATTGAAGAATGAGATGATATCTAGGTGTGATAGTTTTAAGTACTTTATATCGATTATAATAAAAATGAAGATATAGATGTGAATATAACATATAGAATTAAAACTAAATGACTAAAATAGAGAACTGTTTCAAAACTACTATAGCATAAGTGAGATATCATTGAGATAAAAGTAAAATTTATAAAATTGATGTAAAAAAATATGAATGTTGGATGGTAAAAAGGAAAGATGCCTAGTTTGAGGGAAAAAAAATGAGAAATTAAAGATGAAAATGTGGCAAAACTACGAAGGATAAATTAAAAAATGATTATATAAGATATATGACTAAGGTGAAATACACTCAAAATAAGATAATTAAAAATAGATTTACGTGGTTTAGACACATATAATGAAAAGTGAGAATTGCTATCATTAGGCAAGAAGATAAAATGAAAGTTAGAGGATTAAGAAATAGAAAGAGGTGAGGCTATGATTGCATTGACAGGTTGCTCAAAATGACTTGCATAGAATTGATGTGATGCATCAAACAAAAAAAATTAAGAATGAATCAGACATAAGAATCATAAAGTCAATCCCAAATAGCTGTGATAATACTAATGATGATCATGACGATGATGATGATGAGAAATATCATGAAGTACAAACAGTAACAAAGAAAATGAGTAGTGCGAGGTCTGTAATATAGCTTCTGTAATATCTTCTAAGAAAATACAGAAGAATCCAACTATTATCCAGTTTAAATGATCCTACCTTAACGTAAGAACCTAAAACCTAGATTGTTTCCCTGAAAATATAAATGATTGCAAAAACACAAAAATAGCAACTGCTTAAAAAAAGAAAAAGGTATGTTTGTAAGACAATAAGTATTATAAAAACTTATTAAAGAGAAGATATGGTGTTATAATAGCCTATGACACAAACGGCATCAAAAGCAAATTAAGATATAAAAATAATTTTGAAAATCTAAATGAATACATAATATTCGTCACATAGAAAAATTTATCCAGAGATCTTGCTTACATGCTCTCCATTGTACATTCTATTGATTTTCTCTTTCAGATGAGCTGCCTGCTATAACAAAAAATCAGAAGAATTAGTGGAATATATCAGTTCACAAGAGCAATATTTGAAGAAACAAAGAAAATAGCACCTCTGCCAATTTCAAAAGTTTCTCCAATGTTTCCTGGTCTGCACACTGCCGGGAGTAGTCCAAAATTATCCCATCATACTCCCTGTAGAGAATTTATAAGCAAATCAAAGAGGATAAATGAAAATTCTTAACGCGATATAAAGTCCTTGTAAACTAGTCCATTCAAAAAATTAAATGTTGCTTCATAATTAGATAAATTAACGACATAGAAAAAACATCATACGCCGTCATTAACTTGCAACGGTCAACATCACCCATGAGATCACGCAAGTGCGTTCTTTTTATCTCCTCCGCGTGTTTCTGCATAATGATGTACATAATGTTGAATAATATTGAAGTCAAACTAAGAGCTAGAATAGAAGAAACATGCCTTCAAGTCTTGCCATTCAACCGCATCACATATCAGAACAGGCGACATTACAATCTGCAACCTTCAAGTAAAATACTTAAAATTTTCATCAATAATCTCAGCTTGATTAGTAAATGCACACAATTATAAATTTAAGGAATTCTGAAAGTGCGGAGATTATATATATATATATATAAAAAAGAAATCGACAAAGTTGACTGCACAATCACCAAAAAGAAAAGGGGATTGACTGCAACATGAAGCAAGAAAGGAAAAGAAGCAAGTCACAAAAAATCAAAGAGATGTGATATGCTACAAGCATTCAGAATGTCTGGTTACGGATTTAGAGCAGGATTTAAGCTGGATTTAACTAAATCTTTGCAAGACGGTCATTTTGGACCAAATAAAGCCTCGGATTTGAAAAATTCGGATTTCATGGATTTCGGGCTTAAATCCCGGATTTACTAAAGCCCGTGAATCGGTGGATTTAGTAAATCTCGGAGGAGCGCTACGCGCGACAAAAAAGACGTGAAGTTACCTTCCTCGATGGTTTCGGGTAGGAGAGGAGCGGAAGAACGAGAAAAATGGGAGTTTTGAGTCACGGTAAGCCGCGATCCCGTAGTTGCGTTCCCAGCTAACTCCAATTGCGACTGTATCGCGAGGGTTCGGCCACGAAGGAGATGGTAACAAAGAGAAGGGGAGGGAAATGCGAGGGTTTTGGGGAGAGAGGATTGATGTAGGAGGGGATTTTAAAGCACAAAAAACATTCATTCTCTCCCACTTCGTCAAAATAATCAATACACCCAATTTATACCCGACTGCAAGTTTCTCCAGAATTAGGCATCGGAAAGATTTGATCGTTCATTACGAGATGAAACATCAGCGTACTGCATTGAATGCCAGAAAGTATTCAGACCAGGAGAATTGCTGGTTGGAAGGGCTTACCTTATCGCGAGGGAGGAAAGAAGAAGTTTGAGCGCCTATTCGTAACCCGCTCCAGGTGGCCCTGGTTTCTCGTTTTATATATATATTCTGATTGTTTCTTCATTGAATCGGATATTCCCTACTCGAGGAGAAATTTTGCAAGATGCTCTCCGGGGTGTGGCATATGACAAAATTATGTTTTGTCAATGTGTTTCAAAAGTTGGGTTTTATTATTGAACCTGACTACGGGTGTGTTTGAAGTAGTTGGTGTTTAATTAGATAAGTCATTTATCTGAAACGCGGACTATAGGATTCGACCTGTGTTTCGCATTTAGTGTAAAAAATCAATTGTATTTTCAGATAAGCTACTCAAACGCAGTTTTTAAATCGTGAGACAGCGTTTTGAAAATATGCCCCAAACGGAGCCTAAGTGACGTGGTTACAAGAAAATTATGATATGATTTTTTCAAAAAAAAAAATAATAATAGTGATCGCAGTTTTTTTATGAATAACTTCTTTTGCAACAGCTTCAGTTTTTTTATGAATAGCTTCTTTTGCAACTGCTTCATAATTTTTTCTTCAAACAGTTGCAGCTGTCCCAAACAGCCATTGGGATCACTTCTTATTTTTAGTATGTTTGTTTCTGGTTTTTTTTTAATTTCTGTTTTTAGAAAATGTGTTTGGTACTGTTATAATTATGTATTTTTAAAAATATAAAATATAAAATATGTTTGGTTGGTTTTTTTTTAAAAGAAAAACTTATATTTTTTTATAAATTTGTTGGGTTCACATGCGCTCCAGTATTAATCTTTGTCGCTCATAGCGTATACGACGTCTTCCTTGCTCCACCCAGCACGAAGCATTACCTGTGGGTTGTCGGCTCGCGACAGGCGACTAGCGGCCGGCGACAGCGGTAGAGGTGGAAGCGACGGGTGAACAACGACGGTGGACATCAGGGGCGGCGAGGCGTCCAGTGGTGGGAGGCCAGCAGCACTAATGGGTCAGGCAAAGATTTGTTTTGGTGTTTTGAAAACAGACAAAAATATATTTTCTTTCTGTTTTTAGTATTTTAAATAGAGGTGTTTTCCCAAAAAATGAGAAACAAAAATAAAAACCTTATTTTTATGTTTGTTTCCTATTTTTTTAATTTTTAAAAACAAAAAACAAAAATTGATTCCAAACAGCCCCTTAGTTTATTTTATTGATTAAAAACTTGCTACCGAAATGAAATTAACCAAGTGTAACATGTAAAACTAGTTTTCTAATTTTTTTTGGAAATTTGAGGGACACAACCAAATTTTTTGTTTGTTTGGTGTGGTTGCACGGAAGCGGAGCTACAACGCACCTCGAATTCTACCATTTGAATAGTGCATTAATTTGACATTTTAAATAACATTGTGTCATAATGGTGTTTTTACGTCGTGGGTACGTTCAAGTTTTTTCACTGGGTTACTATTATCTCTAGCCTCTTATATCCTTGTTTTGCCCTCATTCCGCTCTACCCTCTCGAGCTTCACTGTCATACAGCGAAGGATCTTGTACAAGGAGCCTTCAATCTTAGTTCTTTGTTTTTCTTATCTCCCATCTCTGCCCCATTCTCTCTAGAGGTGTCTTTGATCTCTTCCCAAATTTTTGTGGGTATATTTTTGTCATTTTTTAAATCACTTGCATTTTGTGTTATTTCAATTAGTTATGCATCGATATTTCATGGTTTGATTCTTTGACGTTGCCTTTGTGTTGGTTTGGACTATCAGCCATAAATGTTTTTGATATTTTCTTTGTTGGTTTCGGTTAGCTATGTCATTACATCTGTGTTGGTTTGCCTTTAGGAGATATCTAGTGGTTTGTATTTTCTGTGAGCATATTTTATCCGTCTAAGTTGTTTTGCATTTTTGGAGATATGTTATTCTGTGTGGGGATTCCATCATGTTTGTGTGAGTTCGATTTATTCGTTGGGAGTGTGGGGAAGTGAATTTTATGCACTTAGTGAGTAGTAGATTATGGTGGATGCTAGCATGTGTGCATTATGATGAGTTATGGTAGTTATGTTTTATGGGAGTTTGCTCTCTTTTGTATTTCACTCTCTCTGTCATTGCCACTGTGATGGTTTGGAGCTCTTTGTCTTAAACCTTGTTATTATTTTCATAGGGTGTTGGTTTGCATTTGTGAGATGTGTGGTGGTTTGCCTTTTCTGTGGGCATTTCTAATTGAACTTTGTGTTGGTTTGCATCTGGGAGAGAATTCATCTCTGTGGGGGTTTGATAATGTATGTTAGGGTTCAATCTCTTAGTTGGGAATGTGAGGATGTGAAAGTTATGCATTTGGTGTGTAGTGAATTATGGTGGATACTAGTTCACATTTGTTTTTCTACGTTATGGTGGCTATTTTCTGTGGGGTTCAATCTCTCTTTTGTCTTTCACCCTCTCTATCATTTCCATTGTGATGCTTTAAAGCACCCTGCCCTAAAATTCTTGTTGTTTTCTCTGTGTTGCTTTGCATTTGGGAGATATTTGGTTGTTTGCATTATCTGTGAGCATTTCTTATCTGATTGATGTCGTGGTTTGCATTTGGAAGAGATGTACTTCTTTGTGGGGGTTCGATCTCTCTTGTAAATGTGAGGATGTAAAAGATGCATTTGGTGAGTACTGAATTATGGTGGATACTACTTCATGTGTGCTTTGTTGTGTTATGGTGGCAATGTGTTGTGGGGTTCGATTTCTATTATGTTTTCTCTCACTTTGTCATTTGATATAAAACAAACTTTGTTTACATTTGTGGGAGTTCATTTTTTTATGTATTTACATTAATATGGAAGTTTGTAGATTGTTGGTAGCCATCTATGTGCCTATTTCACTGTTGACGCATGACTTGCCTATGTTGTTTATATGGTAATATCGTTGTTTAAACATTGTCAACCATTTTTCTTTTTCTTTCCTTGAAATTATAGATTTAAATGGTAAAGACAAGAGAAAGTGGAGCTTCTATAATGTGGGAAAGAGATACAAAGATGATATTTGTAATCTATGTTTTAATGAAGATGAATTGAGAAATAGGCCAATAATGTTTTTAACAAAGATGGAAGGCATAACATAATAAAAAAATTTAGACAAAGAATTAAAAGAGAGTATGTTAGGATAAAATAAAAATAATAATTTATACCAATTGAAGAAAGATTAGAAATTATTGAAAGAATTAAGGCGAGGAGCTACATGTTTTGTCGGGATCACACAAAGCGGATTATTAATGCACATAACTTTTATGGAAGGAAAGATTAGAGGTACAATTGTGTTTTAGCTAAGCAATTCTACATATTTTATGTTAAACAATTGTATAAATCAATATTTCATATTTTATGTCACTTATAGGTCGTACCAAACATAGAAAAAATTTTAAATTTAGTGGCATTGACCAAGATTAGAAGAGAAGCTAGATGAAATGTTTAGCGGTCATTGCCACTGGTGATCAAGGATGAGCATTGATGTATCTAAACTTGTAACTTCAGAAGCATAGATCCAACTTAAGTGAAGGATCCATACATACTTGTTGGATTTAGTCATACAAGACGACAACCATTTTTAGGGCCCAGGGTGTATTCTTACAAAATCAGATTTTTTAGTTAGTTTCTGCATGTAATACTATTCTCTATTAAAAAATTATTACTCTTGAAGACTCCACATTTCATGGCACACCCAAAGAGATTTTAAATGATTCTAGACATGTCATATTTTAAGCTATATTTTATTTATCATATTTTATAATTTATTTTAAATATATTAAATCAATGTAAACATCTTAGAGGATTGCATTAGTGTTATCGACACAACACATATTGATGCACATGTACCTCCAAATGAAAATGTTTGGTATATCATCCAGTGTGACTTACCACCACAGAATGTTTAGGTTACAAGTGATTTCAATATATGTTTCAACTTTGTAATGCTTGGATGGAAAGTCAGTGCACAAGATTATTATTTTTTTACTTTTTTTTGGTGCAAAATAGCCATTATAATTTTCTTAAGTCACCTCAAAGTTAGAAATAATAAACAAAAAAATTATAATTTATTTGCTAGTATGTATAACTAAATTTATTTATATGCCAGAAAATACTATATGATTGATGTGAGTTTTCTCTTAAATTTTGGGTTTTTAAGCTATATCCTGACATAAGATATCACCTCACAAATTTTGAACAAGAAAGCCAACTACTTCGAGGAAAAAAATAAATATTTAACAAGCACACTCTTCTCAATAGGATGTTATTGAGAAAACATTTGGATGGTCGTGGGGGTGTGTTTTAAGGCCTTTTTTCCGAGATTTTTAAGTTTGGAGGGTTATGACGAGATATACGACTTTAAGAGTTCTTTTTTATGACCTTTATGTTGCTACGGTTTTTGACATAAATGAGTTTGGTATCAAGGCAACAAAGATCCCTTACTTTTTCAATCATATCACTGTAGGGGTTCTTATAGAGGACATTTATATCGATATGCTTCTGTGACACATAAATTTTTATTATTACATGGTTAGAAGCAACCAAGATTCCCTTTCTTTAATGTCTTCTATTTTTTTTAATGACATATTCTTCATTAATTTATAATTGCTCTGAGACCTCACTTTTTTATAAGTCTTTATCATTGTATATTTATTAGTTTATTACTTAATTTTTCTTATAACTTTATCATTGTACTATTAATGGAATCTCATTTTTATGTTTGGGGTTTTCAAATTTTCAAAAAATATAATCTAGAGGACTTCTATCATTTCCAGAGTCTTATTGTTGACCTCACTTTTGGTTTAGGTCTAGAAAACTTCTTTAGTAGCCTAGGTCTAGCCATAGGACTTTCCTATTGACTAATCTTAGAAAATTAGAAGAGGTACCCCACCATTAGAAATTCAAAGCCTTTCTCTTTACTCAACTTGAAGTTTCACATATTGATCTTAACTTCTAGCATTTAATAGGTAAGATCATTGTGAGAGGATTCAAGAAGAGTTCTTATAGGGTTACTTGGCCT